GTGCGTGCAACAATCCTTTCACACTATATGAATGCCCAGCTGCGAGATGTCGATTGTCGAACCAATCACAATGTCTTATTTGGTTTTTGGTTTACTTCCTTGTACCGACATATATTAATTAATTATCAAACCATATTATAGTAAATGATCAGAATAGCCTGTCAAAAATTGTCAAGGACAAGGTTTGTGTATTAATAAAAATAGATATATTATTATTATATGTACAAATCTCATTCAAAAGTGTACACAAAGAGATCGTCCACTAGATCTTTTTGTACACAAATGCAATACAATACACACTAACACATGAGGTGACATTGCGAAATCAATCACGGTTGAAAAGAGAAAGTGAAACGCACTTATGAAAACGTTGGCAAAGTAACGACATTTAAAAAATGCGGTTGTACTTTTTAAATTAAATGTATCAGTGTAGGTACATTCGTGTATAAATCAATTATGCAATTATTAAATCTATAAATATTTTAAAAGTATAACGGATATCGCCAATAAGGTTAATGTTTATGAATATATAATTAATTACTTTATAATATCCGTCTGCGTCGTGTCACATATGTATATTAGATCTTATTTTTGATAGGACACAGTCAAAATAATACACGCAAGCTTGGATTATATAAAAAAAATATGTATTTGTTTGAAAGTTAATAGTAATTTTAATACTGAAAGATGTGATAATTTATGTTAGATCAGGAATATAAAAAATACACAATAATTAAATTAGTAATTTACTGTAAGACATTAAGTTTCACATTTTATTAATTATTACATTCTAAGAATCGGTATTAATCTACTAATTTGTCAAATAATTATTCATAATTCTATAATTTTGTTTGTTTAAATCAAATATTACTTAAATCAAGGATATCTTCGACAAATAAGACTTAATAGGTATATATTTTTTATATAAATCAACGACTTACTAGTAAAAAAGGTATCTGGTAGAATCACTGAGCTTATTTAATCAAAGTTTTATAAGGATACTTTTGTTTTCTCTTATCCCTTTTAACAGATCCGTTCACAAAATATATAATGAGGTTGCATACAAAATTGCTGGCATAACAAAATTATTTGTGTATCTAAAAAAAAAATTAATGTCATTCACAATCGTTTGACGTTTGACGTTTGAAGTTTGAATGACATATTATTGTAGTCGTGCTGCAATCTGTCTATGATAAAAAATATTGCGTTGGATATTTCGAGATATTTTGAGGGAATGGTTGTTGATGTTTTATCATTATGGCTGTAGTTTGAACATTACAATTCGTACAAGAAATAAACAAAGAGAATCAGTTGACCATGGATGTTAAATAAACTGTAGATATAAAATTTCGATAAGCTATAAAATAGTCGATTCATTATTAATATAGTTGTGAATTTTAGTGTTGCAAGATTTAAGTAGGTACTTAATAGATTCAGATTGCGATATTAAAGTACAAAGCTAAATTTTTGCTTCATTTGATTTAATTTTATTTTGTCATAATACTAGTTAGTATTTAGATAATGTTTTCAACATGCAAATAGTTTTTTTTTATTATTTCCAAGAACGAATATGATAAATAATTTTAATTTCAGCTTCTCAACTCAGCACGGGCCATAAAAGGTTGTATCACAGACAGGTGAACCTTGAAAAGAAATAAAATTTGGGCATCATATATATTGTGGACAAACAAATTCGTTGATTACATAAAAACCACTAAATAACAAAACAAGACAATCAGATATTCAATACAGTCGAAAATTTCCCAAAAACGAACACATTTATCTTACGTTGAAGGCAAAGCTACTGGCCTCAAAGAAACCGGTTCGCAATGTCGCGTATCGTATTAAATCAACCAACGAACAAATGGTCACTCATTTGTAATAAGAGTGTTACCAACACTATCATCGTGTCTGATACATTATTATCAACACTTTCATTTAAACCGAGCTTATAGTTACTTTGTATGATTGATAAATTATTTTATTATAAACCTTTGAATAATTAGTATTTTAAAAGCATAACGAAATTACATATTGCAAAAAATTCGATTAATTATAAGTTTAAAGAGTGCTATATAATATGTATATTTCGTGAAAGTGCTAAACAAAACACAATATGTAAAAAATAAGCACATACTGTTTTAAATAAATATTATTGTTTTCGATACATATCAAGTCATGCTTTGATAGCAGAAATAATATAATAGTAGAAATATATTTTACAATTCTTATACTTAGTATTGTAGTTTCAGTTCCTTCTAGTGGTCTAGTCGATGTCGTAAGGGAGTTCGTTACTTGAAGCACCCTTATCGGGCTTGGAAAATTCCGACTGAGCATCACGGTCGAATGCGCTACCGACCTCGTGGTGATTAGTTAAGGCGATAAGGATAAAAGTTGTACTTAAGTGGGTAGTATTGAACCTATCCCGGAAAATTCCACATATCTCTCTGACTCTCCCTGAAACAGAGGTAAGTAATAAATATCTTCTCAACGACAACACAAAAAGGTCCTTCGGCTTTTGGTTTTAGGTTGTAATGTATTATAAATTTGTAAGTATCACAGTATTTTTTTAGTATCTACACTTCTTATGATATATTTAGAGAAGGATATAAATTATTTGAAATTAAATATTAGCAATATATGCAACTGAACTTCGTACCAAAATGAGTATGTATTTTCTAAAATTACTTATAATAACACGTTTTAAAAAGTCGTGGTGGCCTGGAGGTTAAAGGTCAGCAAACGAGCAAGAGGGTGTGGATTCGAAAAGTCGTACCAATGTGATGTTTTTTCCGAACTTTATGTACTATCTAAAAGACACCACTGATAGACGAAGACGGAATCTGGACTTAAAATTTCACCTTATAAGTTAGAAATCGCCAGTCTGTCTTAAACAAGAGTTGTGATTAATGTTCTAACCTTCTCCATGTTAGAAGACGCCTTTGATCACCAGTTCTGATAGGCTGATAATGATCTTTTACTTTATGTTTGCTAGAAAAAGGATTATTCAAGTATTGCATTACGCATTGACTCTTTTATTTTTCAAACCACAATAATGTTACGCCTTTTTTATTCTTGTATGTTTATGGAGTCAAAGTAATCTGAATCTGTAATATTATATAATTATATACAGACCTTAATTAACATATTTGGTAATATTATTACAGTTTATTGCAGGGCAAAGGCCTCGATCTTACGTAACGACCAGTAATGAAACATTTCTGATGTAGCATTTATATTTTTAACTTGATACGACATTCGCAGGTTATAAGTTGATTTGATTGTAGAATTTTCAGTTTATAACACAGGAGGCAATCGCTCCAAGCTTTAGAACAGCGACAAAGATAAAACCAAAACGAATTGATCCCTGGCTGTTTGTTATAATGCACCTACTTCATCGATTTATATTCTAATAGAGAGGGGGTGCGAAGGTCGAGTTAACTGGTCGTTCAGAACTACTTTCACCAGAGTTGTCTTATTTTGCAACTGACCTTAATATTCTGACGTTGTTGCAAATGCCGCATTAGAACAATTATTTATATCTCAATGCATTTTATATTCTATTGATTAAATATAGGATGGTTAAGATATTGTGTATGTATTATTTTGTAATACAAGCTCTCGGACCCTGACATTTATATTGAATTTTATACAACCGAGTAAATGAGTTTATATCAAAGTCACATGAATGGATGGACCTTATCACGAAGTAATCCTTAAAGCAACAATTTATTCTTTATATAACACATCACCATTGTGCTTAGTCTTAATAAAGTAATTTTTGGGTCTTCATTTTGAATTTACATAAACAGTAATATGTATAAAAGTTAAATTCATCTTTTGATAATTAGAGTTGTAATCTTTATATTAAAACAGTAGACATTTTCAGTATTTATTTCAAAAGTGACGAATATATATTTAGGTTTTTATAAAAGTATTTGTCGTTTTATAAAAGTACTTTAACTTAGATTTTTTTAGACTTTATGATTTTTGAAAATTATCATTTCGATCAAAAGTAAATTTATTTATTAATTAATATAATCGAAAAGGTTTGTGATATAAAAACTTTTTACATATATAACAAAAAAAACGGAAATACATCTCTTTGGCAAGCTCATTTGGAGGGTTAAAATTAAATTAAACAAGCCTTACTAAGATTTACATTTCATTATCAATGACGAAGGTGAATTTGGGTCGACATTTACAGGGCAGGAAGCTGGCGAGGCGATATGTTATGGACCGGTTCACCATGAGATGAGAGCTCTTGAAAAATCACTATCCATATATTTTGATACACTCCAATTTATTACACAGTAATAGATTTAGAATGGAGATATATTTTCTCATAATGTTTTTTCCGTCCACCGAAAAAGAAATATGGAAAACAGTGGCTGGAATTATTTATTTATATTATTAAAATATATTAGTCTGCTCACAACTAGATTTTTAGTGTGAATAACCTCTACTTTGGTTTTAATAGCATTTAATATAAGATATTTGTATGGTTTATACCTATAAAGATAATTGTAAATTTTTTGCTATTTAAGCCTCTCAATCACATGTTTCAATGCAGTGTTTATATATAATGGCAAAAAGTTATACTATTTGATATCTAGGGCAAAATACTAAGTAAAGGCGATGACAAGTACGGTCAATACTATATATGAAAATAATTTGCAGCCAAAAATATACCTATTCGTCAATATATTTGTTTAACAACTGAATCCAAACTACACTTAGTTATTAAATAATTAATTGTATTTAAAAACAAAACAGTTTAGCTACTAATACATAAAACATTTAATATTTGCAAGTACTTTTTATTACTGTATTTATATTCATGACCATAAAATATGTAATAAAAACGAAAAGGTTCCATTTAAGGGTCCAATTTCGATATTTTAATGCCATTTGCCATTTAAGAAAATTACGACATTTAGCGAGTTTGATTGCGTCAAATGATAATTGTATAAATGTGACACAGGTGGATTTAATATATCATGTCGAAAAAATCGGAGATAGGACGAAGTCTTGCGGTCTACGAGGTGGACCCCACTGAATGCCCGTTTAGGGAATTTCGGGATAATGAACTCTCCACGGAGTTTTGGGGGATGGTAGGCATCTCGTAATTTCCCCTACAAAATGTTGTTCACGGCTTGAAATTTCTTAAATAGCAACATATATTTTCTACACGAGTAAATAATGGGAAGGTGCAAAAACATTATTTGCATTTTGAGACGACAAGTATGAACGTAATTTATTCACGAACATGCTTATTAGCATATTTCCCTGGGCGACAAAGATGGAATTTGATTATGTTTGATTGAGTAAATTTGAGTAGGTTTTCTGACGCAATCAACATTACGTTGTTAAGCCTTTGAAGGTATTTTATTTTAGGGTCCATCTGCCTTTCGAAGCAGTCATTTCGTTAGCAAAATTTCAACGAAAGCTCAAGCAGACTATGTTTGGGTTGATGACCAAACACAGCCCTTGCCACGATCAGCAAGACAGTATCTTCATGGATGGGTAAGAGCTGACGAATTAGCCATGAACCGATGGGACGCTGAAGTTGTTGTATTTGAGGTAAACAAAACATTTTAGATGGAATTACTACAAGGTATTTGAATAATTTATATTAACCAGAAAATGAGGTATCGTAAAAGATTCTCTTGAATGTTTAATAAAGGGTTTATTTTAGGATAACGGCAGTGGTAAGATGTCTATAATAGATATGCAGCTCAGTCACGCACAGGTTCTTCTGAGATCGTCCTTCTGCAGACGAGTCCTCTCTATGTGCTTCATGCTTGAAAGAGTTGATAGTTTAATTGTGAGTTTTCAAATTACATTAATCGTTTTAAATATCCCATTTTTTATTATAGATTCCACCCTAATTTACTTAATGCTCTTATTTCCTTGTTCATGTCTCTCGTCTTTAATCAAATAATTCTCACGTTATAATATACATAACAAGTCTTAACCTCATTGCATCTCCTAGAATATATTTAATTGTAAAAAAGTCAACGATATTACTTGCAAACATTTCATTTGTTTAGAATTAGTTTCTCATATAATTTAAATTGAAGTAGATTTCTATTTATGTACATATGTAAGTATAAGTATTTTGATTGTATAATATTCTCCAGGATGAATTTCCTCCTGGTTACTAATTGGGTCTCGATATAACTAATTACACACTAAGTTCGTTTCCTATCAATCATTATCATATCACGCTAACCGGAAAAACAGAAATAGAATGTTTTCTTGAACTTCCGATGTTATGATATCGATTTTCACATTCGTTGTTAAATATCTTTATTTTTTTTTATTTCCTGAAAATATTAAATGTGTTTAGATTTAATGAATAATTATGATCATAATATTTAGACTTTTAACAGCCAAAAAATAGCATTAGGTTCTTGCTATAACTTGTTTTCGCTCAAGGTGGAACATCAATGGGAGAACTTTGTATTCACAATGGCCCCGGAAGGATGGAGATCTAGGTTTCATATTTATTCCCCGGGAATGAAACCTGGTGGTGGGCAACAACATCGACCGACACATTCCAAAAATGGTAATAGAACTTTTGAGAATACTTTATTTCCTAAGGATTACAAAAAAAATATTATTATAAGAATTATATCGTGCAAATTCTTAAAGTTTTGGCCGAAACCTCCAAATTTTTATAATATTTGAATAGTCACATAATCTTGGAAACTTCCGGACCAAAGTTTGGGAAAATCACACAATTCTGTTATCTAACTTTATTGTTTAGTTTAGTTAACTTTCAAAAATGATGACCTTCTGCTCTTTTGTCTTAAAAGCTTGTAATCTTGTATTTCTATTGCAAAATAATCATAATTTATATGGAATGTTTTGAATATTTTAAGTGGTTTGACCTTTAGAATTTCTTTCTTTTTGCATACGAGGTTGTTATCTCGTTCGTCTATTCTATCTCGGCGCCTGGCGCTGCGTATGGGTGAGTGATCAGGTCCCAGTGGATGCGACTGATTCACCTCTCCTGCCATTCTCTCCGCTACTCAGCCGTGCTCCAGTTAAACCAGGCGGTAAACAAGCACCTGCCATGGTGACTTCAAACGTCGTACATCTATGGCCCTTACTTATATGCAAGGTACAAAAAAAATATTTACCTAGGAGAAGTTTCTTACATTTCTCATTTTAGAACAAATTCTATAAGGATATATTCATTCAAATAATGTTTTGAATCTTATATTGTCTATTACTTTTCATTCCATATTTTTATATTGCAATTCTTGTTGGAATTTTTATACCTACACTTCAATTTTAGAATATTTATTTTTATACGTAAGTTATATAAAACAAGAAATTCGTTAACCAATATCTATTAATATTCGATTATTATTATTTATCTATTAGACATTATATTTTATGTGCAATTCCGGAGTTGTATGTACCTCAATAAAACTTTCTCAATAAATTATTATTATTATTATTATAAGTCATGAAACCGAAGTTCTTACACAAGCTCATTATAACGTAACTATTCTCAGCGTAATACTTTCTCAATACAAATACCTGAACACCGCAAAGTTGCTGAGATTTACAATACCTTATTAATAAATTATCATTAACATAGATAGAACCTCTTTCATAAATGGGTCATTTCGTTTAAAAGTTCTTAGATATTTAGTTATGTATTTTTTTTGGTCATTTTAGGCTAGCAATAAATCTTACCATCAGATTTATTGCTAGCCTAAAGTGACGAACAAATACATTTCTAAATATCTAAGAACTTGAAGTTTCTTTCTTCACATACCTAATATTTAGATTACATCTATATCAGCAATCAAAGATTATATGTAAAAATATGTACATTTACTGCCATATGAACAAATATCTAAATAGGTGGACATAAAATTAAATAAACGTAGCTCAAACACCCGCCTTCATAAAATATTCGAAACGCGTTAATGTTTCATTGCTAATCAAAATTACACAGGCGTTGTTGAAGCTAGCAGCACCCGACTTGAATTCGGACGAAGACGCGAATTGTGAAGACGAATTGATGCCGGAGTTTGATATATTACACGCCCTGACTGGTTGTTTGAATCTGGTTTATAATATAAAGAGTAAGGAATAATTACTTTACAAATAAAATTAATACAGTTATATTCAAATTTTACTTTAGAGGTGTCTTGTTATTCAATAAAAGCATATCATTTTTTTAACAATAAATCTTTTTAATCTTAGATCCAGAGGCCATATGGGACATAATTACAAGTGAGGTTCCATTATTTACTTGGGACGATGATGACGATACTCTAACTAGCACTGTGAAGTCTAGAAGTACTAAGAAACCTGCTACTAAAGAAACTACGGTTGTCCGGGTTAGTAAATATTCAGAAGGAACTAATAATGATGTAATAAAATGAGAACGAATATACTTTCCAATTTGTGATAATACCGATTACAACATCTTGGAGTATGTTATTACGTTAAATAAAATACGAAACGGTAATTAATACTTACTGAGGGGTAAGGAATTTTTTTATTTCACTCGAAGAAATATTTTTTATTAATTCAAGTCCCAACTCATACGGTTTCGAAGATATAATAAATGTAACACAATCACTACAAATTAACCTTAACTTCTTTGTCATCTAACCGCTTTTCAGAGACATTGTAAAATAAAAATTAAACGTTTTATTAATCTCCGGATTTTAACTCTTGAAATTTGTTTTTTTTTATTTTAAATTTACGTTTAGATTGCCCAGATATAACTACAATAAAAGGAACTAGTTAGGGATTATTATTTTCTGTATAACCCTTCAGCTGCATTGAAAATTAAATAAAATATGTATTAAAAACAAATTTGTAAGTATACTATAATTATTAAGAAATATAGTTTTAAATAAACAAAAATTAATACGACTGTTATTTTATGGACTTAAAAGTTTTTAAATTAGTAATAAAAAATCATAGCAAAGCATTAATAAATTCCTATTAGGACTAATTAATATTGAAAATATTATAAGTTTCTCATATTCTTTTGAAATAAACAACATTATTAAATAATATAGTTAATTGTATAATAACAATCATTTAAAAACTTACTAATTAACTAATTTTGTTATTTCAATCGGAATTCATTAAAAGCCTTTTCTGGAATTTATCATATATCTCGAGAATCAGTCATTATAATATATTTTAAATATTTAGTATATCTTTTGTATCAAATACTACATAGTACAATTTGTTTTGGAGATAAAAGATAAACTCAGTTATTTCTGTCATACTTGTAACGTTCCGAAATTTCTGAAACAATTTTGAGAAAAAAAAACATTGTAAGAAAACTATTGCTACGTTCACGATAAGCCTAATGTGTTTCAATAACTCTGATTTATTTACTTAAAAAATAAATGCCTTATTATATTTTACATTGTATAAATAGTGTTTGATTGCGTCTCTTGAATTTGTAATTAAATATAGCCAACCTCTACATTTATTTTTATCGATTTAAGATAACAAACAAGAGTAATTTAGTGAAAAGATATTCCGCTGTCGATTTCCACTTATTAAATAAGCTCTAGTGCTTTTATTGAGTTTGTTCTATTCAGAGAGGATCTATGACGTCAATTCTTATTGAAGACACAAAGAATTCTCCTCCTTACGCTCTCCCGGGAATCACTCCGAGCCACGAAATGAATCTCCTCGTGACTATGGCTAGGGATTTACCACTTAAAAAACCACTACCTGAACCGGGTAAGCTAACAAAGACTTTTTATACAATTATTTAAGATTCAGGACGATTTTTAGAATTTCATTTGCATTTTTGCAATCATATTTTTTTAAATAGAGGTCCCACTGTGGAAAACATATAGATGGGTTGATTGGGCGCGTCGCCATGGTTTGTACGAGGCTTATGATTGTCCACGCACACAGTTTCTGAAAGTCAATGGATTCTTAAAGCTATCCCACGCTCCGCATTTGTTGGATGTCCAAAGTACCGAATCGGTAGTATTTTTTTACTGTCATATTATTTTGTGATTGAAAAAACAGTTTTGAGTTAACAGGATTTTGTATTTACAGATTACATTACAATTTAGAGAGGAACATGATAGGACCAATCCACCGGTTGGTAGAATTTCTTAACGAAATCTTTTCCAATATGCCAATTATTATTATCCATTTGACTATGAAATATAAATATTGATTTGCAGTTAAAGAAAGGTATAAGAGATTTAAATCGTTCACAAACAGCTAATTCAGCAACAATTCAGCAACTAAAGGAAGAATTGAGGGAATGGATACCATATCAGACCGTAATCATTTTTTTTTTCATAAAATAATATATCATTTTCTATTTTTAGCATACTTTTTAATGTATCTTTCAGTTATATGAGTTATTAAAGCAGTTCAGCGTTCTGTTTTACCCTTCTATGTATGAGTTTACATCAGTGGCTAGCAATCCTCCAGTTAGGATAACTAAAGCGGCTCCTAATAAAGCGCTTGATATACCTGCTTCTAAGTCGTCACCTCTGTACTTGCAAATTGATGGACCCGATGAGAATATTTTAAGAATTTCCCTGAGCACTCTTCATCCACGAGTTCTTTTTAATTGCGGTGTTGCGATACTGGACCATATAGAACCAGCTCATTTAGTACTGGAAGTTTTTGAATGGTTCAATGACTGCGAGTTGCCGAGGGCAAAAGCTTTTATTCATACCCGAGGATATGATTCTGTGGAAGTTAAATTACTACCGGGAAGGCATTTTTGCAGGTATGTCTAATTATAATTAAAATCAGGTTATTTGTTTTTGTATCCAAAATATTTTTTTTTTCAGGGTTTGGGTTCATTCTCGTATGAATTGGCATGCAATGTTTCTGAGTGAATCATCCTTACTACTTGGAACTCGAGATGTCATCCAGTCTGCAGCTGTGAGAGATTGTCCGTGGGCATCACGTTTTTTATGTAACCTCGGCAATGCTTTTCAAAATTGGATAAAAGCAACAAGATCAGCTGTAAACTTATCATTAAATGATAGAGAATTTTACGGGTACGTTAAAAATAGTTACATATTATATTTAATTTTAACATTTATTATGTGATTATATATATTTTTTAGATCATACCAGCCCGATTTAGAATGGGATCCAAATAGGGTGGGTTATGACAAAGCGTTTCTTCATTGGATGTTCAGACAGGCTCTACAGTCCATATTATCAAAAAAGCTTGTAAGATCAGACTACAACAGCGTATGTTCCGTGTTGAGGAAACACTTTCTTGATCCAGATTTTGGGTTCCCACCTAAACCACCGCCTCCATTAAAGCCAGTGCGATACATTGCAGAAGTAGATCCATGTGATTGTGTTATGCCCGAAGTAGAAGAACAAGAGGTCGTAGAAGAAGAAACAGAAGAACAACAGGTATTGGTAAAGAAATAAATAATACAATCAGTCAAACTTCATCATTACTTTAATTGTGATATTATGTTATTAATGGAGATATGGTTATTAAATATTCCATAAAACTATTAAACACCGCAAAAAATGGACATAGAATAAAATACGCTATTTTAAATTATGCTTACATATTTTTGCATAAAATATTAATTTATCTTTTACAGGCTGTTTCGTGTATTTATAAGCCAATAATAATAAATAATGCTTTTAGGCTCAATCCTAAAATAAATAATGAAATTTGCTACTGTTTGAAAATTTTAAAAATTTATACTTCCAATTGAAATTCAAATACATTTCATGAAATAGACAAAATCAGCAAGTTTTTTTATGAGAAGCGGGATTATAATGTTATAAATTAATAATTTTAAGAAACGTAGAAGAACTGTGATTTTAGTTTAAATGTTTGATTTTAGTTATAAGTTTATAACCAAAATATATTGTTAGGAAAATTAAAACTAATGATTAACAGTTGGCTTTCTTAGATAAATTAGAAAGACAAAATAAGAAACAAATTCTAAATAATTCCAAATGTTTATGGTAGTTGTGATTAAAATTTAATTTTGTTCTGTCTGCCCTTTTAAAAGTATGTTTAAATTATGTATTAGTTACTGGAGGAAATTCCATTGGTAAATCAAGAAACAATGGATCAACTGCTCACTTTACCAAAACCACCTGTAACATCTCAAGTCTGTGAGCTTGCCACTGAAGAGTTGCCCTGTGGAGTTCTGAAGAACGAAAGGGAAAAAGTCATACAAAAACATGAGGCAGCAACAATACTGCAAGCTTATTGGAGAGGAACCTGGGTCCGGCAATGCTTGACCCGCATGGTCACTCTTACACCTGAAGTCTTAAGACTTGTTAGTCTTCTGATATTTAGTAAAACATCCCAAAAACTATAAACTTTTAAGCATATATCGCATTTTTATTTTTAGATAATGGATAATGCTTTCGGTAATATGGAGGCACTGTCGTCTCTGATGAACGAATTCTTCAAAATGTATCCAGGGACGAAAAAATCGTATTCAGTTGCTTCTGCACTAAGCGGAGTATACGGGCTTCAGCAACACACCGGATCCTCACCTATAAGTCCAAAATGCAAATGGATTCCATACTTTCAGAGCGTATTTACTTGTCACGCTCCAGTTAAAGTTCATTTGGATGTTCAAAGTTCTCTCCAACACAGCACATTAGCTGTTTACAATAACGATACCGGTGAACAGATGCCTCAGGCTTACAATTCCCATATAACATTTATTTTTCAGCCAAATGATCATGGGTATGTAAAGAATATATGTATATACATTATTATGATATTTTTTACATATTTTTTAAAACAAAAAAGTAAAACATCGCTTTAAAAATGCCTAAACATATTTTTATTGCAAAATTTACATAGGGTGACAGATGCATGTAGAATGCTGAATTGAAACTACAACTATGTAATCAAATATTTGAGTTAGTTGAATTTATAAAAGAGGAATCCAAAAAATTGTCAGGTTCAAACTGCTTTTGTATTGATGCATTTTTTATTTTACGTATGCTGTAAAATAGGTCGTGGCTTTGAAAAATCGTTAACTTTCTATGTTAATACGTCTTGACGTTTGCATGAAAATATTTCGATATAACGAGATTTTAAACAAGTCTGTGATCGAGGTTTTGTAATTTTTATCTATGAATATTCAATGAGAATAATTTATTCATAGACACATTTCATTTTTATTATAACATATCCCGATCGATTATTATTATTAAAAATTTATACACTAACAAATTTTATTTTTGTTAATTGTTTGAAAGTCTAAAAGAATACCTTACATAAAATGTTGATTGAAGTTTCTATCTGATTAATATCATAAAGTCTCTAGGCAATACCCTGTATAAATAAGACAATTCTCGTATTGTTTTCAATCGGGTATTCAGGAAAGAATATAAATGGACATGTTTTTGAATAATTAATCATCTATTCCCCGTGGTTACAATTAATTAAAGCTGTAGAATATGACAATTAATAATTAATCCAATTAATCTTATAATTTGTCCCAGTTATACGGTCATGGGGCATGGGACATTGAATCAACCGTCTGGAGTTAATAGTGAGGTGCATTGGCAGTTAACAGTGCTATCATCGATTGCTGATGTTTTTCACGTATGTGATAATGACATTGACTCTTGTAAGGAGCTACCACTGTCACCGGCTAGCAAGCTGCATATTGATGAAATTTTCATTCCTAATCGCAAGAATATATTAGGTGGCATACAAATATTGGTCACAAAACATGATGCTGTTTGTTTTAGAGCAGCTGCTACATCCCCAGAGGTGAGATAAATATAATCGCCTGAATATAATTCTTTGCTCAAGTGAATTGTTATTATTCGTTCATCAGAATGGTCAATGTTTCTCATTTCATTATTGTGTGTTTGTCCTATAACAATAAACAATTTTTTTCGGATTACTTCCCGTATTTTTTTTAACTCATACTCTCGACGTTTCGGTTACTTTACAGAAATCCTAATCACATTCAGTCGAGATGTATGTAGTTTTTTAAATATTATAAAATACGCTAAGTAATTCGAAAATATTAGTTTCATTTAAATTATTATTTAATCGCTTAAAATATATACACATAAAAGAATCTCTTATATTTGAACATAAATTTTACTGATGTATTTCACAGCTTGAAATGGAAGCGATTTTACGTACAGTGTGTTCGGATGGATCTGTGGAAGAATTGGGCAGGTGTTCAGGGACGGGAGAGCTGCAGTGGCCTTACATAAGACTAGAACCGACACTACTCTTATCCAACAACCAATTCAAAAAAGTTTCCACTTCCCAAGCAAACTTGGCATCGGTATGAAACAGATATCGGTGCCAATTAAATTGAGTTATCACTGCATTTTGTACATCGAATATCATATACAAGAATATCAAATATTTTTTTAGGTATTTCATTATAGGTTATAAACACAATTAAATAATAACGAGCGTCATTTTAAGTAATTTTTATAATTTTAAGCCTCTTTGTTCGTGCAACACGCAAAAAATACAAGTTTGCTACGCCAAGTTTTAAAGTCTAATTATAAAATGTACAAAATAAAATATCTTCCAAAAGTTCATTATCTGTTACTATGATAAAATATAAGAGAAATTTAAATTGTGAATTATAATACTGCTAATTTAAGTTTATTTATAAAAAAGGACAAAAATATATTTTTTTATTATTTCAAATAAATCAGTTAAAACTATATAACTTTATTTGCAAAATGAAAAACTGTTACCATGAGAAGCTTTTCTGCTATTTAAATCCCTCGTAACTGTAATAATCTTTGTTATAGGAAACCTTTATCTATGTTTTTTGTTTAAAATAACTAACTTCATATTTGATTTATAGACAGCCAAAGAAAACATGACGAGCGCCCGTTCTTTGAGGACTAAACAAAAGGCACCGAGTGCTAAAAGTAAATCTGCAACTAGGGTATGTTTTATTCAGAGTTTTTCAAAGTTATCATTGTAAGCAATAAGTAATTTACAAATATGTTTAAGGTTAAAGATATCAAAATTAATTTGGAACCGAAGCAGTATTCAATTGAGTAAGTTGATTAAAGCCGCCATGAAATTATAGTGTTGTTAGATGTTAATAAAACTGTATTTTTTTTAATATGCTACACAAACATTTTATTAGATAGTATGGGATATTCTTGAACGTTTCTTTATAATAGTACAATATTTAAATTATAATAGCAGCTTTTTGTAATTAAAAAAATACTAAAGTACCTACTTATAAAAAAACTAATTTGACCCTAGCATTATTCGTTGTAAAGTAATTTTCATTCCATTGTGAACGTTTACTCGGTGGTATCGAGTTTCCTTTGAGGTTGAGCTATCTTTATTAGAGTCGTGGCTCCGAAAGGATGGCCTTTGACGTTGGCTCAGTGGAACAGAGTCGATCAGGTCCGGAATTCTCAGGAGTCTAACAAAGTGGAAGCCGCTCCTGTCAAGAAACCTGTCAAAGATAAGGTAAATTTTTCCTTTAAACTGACGCCCATTGTATAAAGATATTAGCCAGTAAAATATTCCTTATTATTGGTAAGGTTCTTATTGTATGTGTAATTTTATGAAAATTAAACAATTTAGTCGTTTCCTTTTTTTGTACCTACATAATTTTCTTTATTAGAAAGTATTGAACAAAAATTATTAAAAGTACAGAACTTACATCCACACTACTATTTTTATTGAAACATTTTTAAATAAATTAGGATTTATATATTGTATACACTTTTATATACTTATACGTGTAGTAATGTAAATAAAGTGCTAAATTTCACACCTCTCATTCTATCGAAAAGGGCGTATTGAAAGACAAGATGCAGTCACAAACGCTATACCAGCCTCAGATAGGTGATGCATATGTGGAACTGGAATGCTCGTTGGCGATCGGTGGTGGTTCTGTGGCCAGGCTTGATGATGAACGTGATATACAGTTCGCAACAGCAAGAAGAAATTGGGATTTACTCGAGCCTGGTAGGAATGCAAGAGGAGCTCAGATCAGGTAAGACACTCTCTGGTACAGTCCATAGAGTAAAAGAAATATCCTATTGTATAAAACATATTAAATAATCTTTTAGAAGAAAGTTTAAATTTAAAGTATTAAAACCCTCTCGGCTAAAGTATTACTTATAAATATTTTAAAGAATACATTCACTAAGTGATTAAATTCCTTTTGGAATTATGGTTAGGTTCTAGTAAAAGAAATGAGCTCTTAAAACAAAATAGTTTAAAGCTTTGAATGACCTCTTTTGCAGGAAAGAGTTCAGGGCGGACTTTTTAGAGTCTGTACCACCTCCACAGGCGCTGAGCGAACAAAGTTTAGGAGAGGTAAACAATACACATGAAACAAATAAACTTTGAAATATAACTTTAAGGTTTTATTGAAGTTTTAAGTCTTTTTATGAAGCTTTAAAAGTAAACTCCGTTCACTTTGAAGAATTGAAATGTTATTCGGATACCTCCTTAATTGAAGAGTAAAAACTTTTACTTCGTTACCTTTATATTGATAAAATTGTTTTAGGAGATACTGGGAGAGGATTTATTGGGAGAGGAGAAAAGTTAGTAGTCGCGAAATAAAAATGTCTTTAGTTTATATGTTATATAATGTTATATGTATAATAATGAAATTAATTTAGAAGAAACACCGCCTGCGGCACAACAGGGTCCAACGCCAGCAACTGACAGCGGGTGTTAGTAAACATCAGTTCTATATTAATATAACCAAACTATTAAATATCCTTCATAATAAAAGAAGCTCTTTGTTTGTTTCAGGATACTTAACGTCTGTATATTATATATAACTTGAATATTACATATAATTATTTACAAGTTATTGTTTAAAAAATTGCATATTACTTTACTTGATAGAAACAACCAATTTCGCTTAACCCATAAAATACATTTGAGATAAATCTAAAATAGGCATATCAACATAGAGATTTTTCTATATTTGTAAATTAATAAAGGCGAAAATAAGAAACTGACCTAATTTCTTATAAAACTGACCTATGCTAAATATAATAGATATTTGTTTTAATTTTAATAGCGCTTGAAGTATCAGAAGAAAGCGAAGAAGAGACCAAGTACTTGACGATGCCCGAAATATTGAAGGACAAATTTTTACCGTTGTACTTCATACCATTGTGTACTAAAGAATACAATGAAAGTGAATGGTATCTAAACATATAGTTACAAAAAGAAAAGCTTATTTATAAAGTAAAGATATTATACACTATAATTTTATGATTACAGCGTCGTTCTAACACCTGAAATGGCTGAAGTAGCGAAGAATGATCGCCAAAATCGCATTGACGCAGCGTTGAAGCGCATGCGTGAACTGCAGGCTTACAACGAGGAGTATGTGATATACAGGCAACGACAGAGGTGCCACTTACTAGAGAAATTGTTTGTCGGTATGAAACAAATACTCTAAAAGTATAATAAGATCTAATATTTTCGCTAGTTTTATTCAATAAATGAAACTATTATTTTTCGTATTATACTACGCGACTTTATTTTCGTCAACAAATACACACTCCCGACGTTTCGATTACTTTTCAGCAGCGTCATCACGGGTAGACGATATGTGACACATCTCGTTTTTGACAAAAATAAAGTCGCGCAGTATAATCCCAAAAATAACTTTAATTTGCTCTATTTGTAGTTACTATGCTTAAGACCAAACCGAGTAAGACCAATAAATTAATAAATAAAGCAACTTTATATTCCGCAATCATCTGGCCCTAAGTCCTTTAAGACCATTTAATCTTAATATAAACTTTGATGAAAGTTTAAAATTATTTAATAACAAAAATATTAATAATTTTAAAGCTCCTGGCCTGATTTATGGTTGCTTTTGTAATCCTGTAAGCTACAATACTTGTAAAATGTATATTAACTTTTTAGGACCATCTTCATTTTAAATTTAATTTTGTAAGACATTCTTTGTATCAAAATAACTTGTTTCTATATTTTAATTCGAACTAATCATTTTTTATTCAGAATAATAACTCTGTCATACTCGTATCATTCCTGGAACTTAAATCTTTTATTCAACGACTTATATTAAGGTCTTTAATATTATACTTTTATTATATAAGTCTTTAATATTTTTAAAACATTTTTGGCAGCGATTTGCTATCAATCCGCATGATTTTGTGATTACTTTAAAATGCACGTTTTTTTAAGACTATTTCAAAAAAATATTTGCTATTTTGAAATGAGCTCCGAATTACAGATTCTCAATGGAATGAAGAACTAGATACCGTTCTTGAAGAGAGAGACGAAGCTATAGCAAAGGAAGCATTAATTCGAACTCTCTCTGCCACAAAAAAGAAACAGGAGGCAAAGAAAAAATAAAGAAGTAGAAAAGAAAAGTTTTGCACTAAGTTAAATAACGTAAGAGAATAAGAATTTTTTGTTAGTGTTTTAGTCGCAGAATAGTTTTAATTTCAGTTAAATAAATGTTCAAGCGTAGTCTTCTGTATTATTCATACAAAATAAACCCATAATACATATTTTATGTAAACATATTTTAATGCCATATATATTGTCAAAACGTTAATAAAAATTAACGATTGCTATTATTGAGTGTTAATTTATATACGGAATTGGTGTTTGGACATACTGTTAAATGATTTCATTGCATTGTCCAAGTTTTGGACTAGTAATATGTATTTAGTAGAATTTGATTTAAATAAAATATAATAAATGTGAATTATTCGTGGTGGTCTAGAGGTTAAAGACCCGCCTAATGCATAAGGGTACGGGTTCCAAACCTTTCAAGTACCAATGTGATTATTCCCAAGTTATATGTACTTTCTAAGAGTATTTAGACATCACTGGCAGGTGAAAATGACAAAAATTGTGAGGAAACCTGCATTCAGCAATCAGTTTGAAAACAGCAATCCGCTTTGAACTTGTGTGGCAATTAATGCTTTTCTCAATGTGAGAAGAGGCTTTCCCTCAACAGTGGGTACCAATAGGCTGATGATGATGATGAAATGTGAATTAACGAATGATAAAAATAAACAATATTATATGCTTATACTTTACTTCACACGAATATTTGTCATCTGAGATTTAGACAGCTAAAAATTTCAATCTAACTTACTAAATCAAGATTCAGCTATTCAGTCCATCTTATTTTTTACGCATAATATACATATATTCAGTGGGTTCAACGGTATTACAATACCACAAAAAATATACATACAATTCACACGGATTTTTTCTCATATGAAAAGGCGTCAAGGGCAGTACAAAACAAATACAAATAATAAAAAATATAGATATGAATATATAAATATTTCCTATACAAATATAAAATTCTAAATACCTATGAACAAATGTTTAATAATATTTTTTCAAGAATGTACTTAGTATTTTATTTGAAATATTTTTATTTAAAATTTGCGAAATACGAAATAGTTTTATTAGGTTCCGTAAGTCCTCTCTCTTATTTTATATCCTTAAATTTATTCTAAATTATTTTATGTATTATCCTGGCGGCTATATTCATTTGGAGGGATATTATGTTGACAGTACTTGAAAGATGAACTCTTTGAACTAGCAATACAATTAGTTAAATAAGTAATGAGGTATTTTATTTCAAAAGGTAACTTTGAAATTGCGTAATAACTGTTTTGATTACTGTCAGTAATGTAATTGAATTTTATAACAAATTCTTCATTAAAGTACCATTTCACATTTGTATAATTTTTTTTAATTTATATATTTAGTTATGTTTAGGCTTAAATATAACAATTTATCCATTAAAATCTTACGACAGATTTTAATTTGGTTATCCGGAGATTTATTTATTCTCGACTATCTCGTGTGCATCAAGTCACTAACAAATTAGTCACGTCTTCCCGTGTTTCTCAGCTCATATAAAGCAGGAGGTGAGTTGAATTAGACGGGAACATTCATTTAACAAATTAGTACTATATCAGTAGTAAGTTATAGTATTATAATGTAGCACCAAATTAAAGACAAAACTAACATTGGACATGGTTAGTAAGTATTACATTTTTATTAATTTTATTCATAACATTCCACTATACTCATAATCTTAATGATTAATATTTTCACCTTTATTTTCCGTTTACTCTCCTATTTCCATTAAATCTGAGACTAAAAGAAAACATTTTTAAATAATATTAAAGTGTAATACTGAAACTAATTCCGCCGCCTTTGGGTCAATACTCTTTGAACAGCTCTGTGCAATGAGCATCTATTGCAATAACTCCGATATTGCTTCACGATCCACCAAAGAATACAAAAACAGACTGTACATTTTAATAATAAAAATGTTGTTTAATTAAAGTTATACTTTCAAAATTATACACATTATTTTACTTTCATACTACTGTTCGGAATGAAATCACTGTCTGTCTTTGAAATAGAAATGGGCCATGGAAAAGAAAAAAATTGCAAGAACTTTGTTTTACACCACAATAATGTCTTGTAATCCGTCTCGTGGTTTGAGTCTCTATTGTGTATTTGTTACTAAATTACACAGAATCTCTCCAATCACTTTGTTTAATTTTGTATACAGATGTAGTATTGAAATTTCAACTTAATTCGTGCTTATGAATTTATTAAACAGAACAAAATGATTGACCACATTACATTAAAAGTAAAGTATAAGATAACAATTGGAGCAATTTCGCCTATTACAATTTATACTTCAATAGAAAAATAAAGATAACTTGTCCATTTTATGAAAACATCATAATCTCTGGCCTAAAATCTGAACGGATCATGGGCATTATTGGATTTCAGTCTCTATGATATCCCTCTTGGTGGACCGCGAGGGTTTTTATTCTCTTTGGTCTAGTCGTATAATTTGGGTTAAACAAGATAAGGATGGGTTATGATTTACAAAAATATAATGTTATAATACAAAAATATGAAATTTCAACGACTTTCTAAATTGAATGCCTTTAAAAATTCGATGTTCCATATTAGGTGTTTGTTTTTGTTTTACTATATAAGTCTTATAGTTCTAATATCATGGAAACTACATAGTAATTCCTATATATCCGTTTGTATTTGTTCAATAATAAAAACTCGTATCTGTAACAGCTTAAAACCACGTAAGGTGAGCTCGCAAGGAGGTCACAGCAATTAGGAGCAGACGAACTAACGCTGCTGGCTATGTTGGAGTGTTGACTGAATCACTGAGTAATGTAGACGTATATACATATAATATAACTATTTTTTTGTTCATATATATATATATATATGTGTGTATATTTGCTGACATATAGTACAGTATAGACAGAAAGATCATAAATCAATAATGTGTCATAATTTGCTCGTTTGCTAAAGCTCCAAATGTTGTATATTATATGAATTTCTTACAAGTATTGTGAGAATATTTTCCACTGTTTTATATTCAAGTTCATTCAGTCCCTAATCAGTTTATGATAAGGCTGTATGTAAAGCGTTAAAAGTCTGCATTCCCCGTCAAACTGTCTTCCCAAGTTCAGTTGGAACAGACTTTGATAAGAATCCTTTCCAACGCTGACTTAAACAGCGCTAATTGAAGTTTATGAAAAATGACGTTGGAGAATGTTCGCTCAGTTTCAGCTTTATAACTATTGATGTTGATGGGCAAGTTTTATGAATTCTTCTATTACAAAGAAATTTAAAATAAAATGACGTCATTACGACTGTTTACAGCACAAAGCTAATAACCATTTAGTATGTAGTGTTTTTATTAGAAATTTTGGTCGCTCTCTTACTTTGTCATTTCCTATTTCACATATAAAATAAGTGGAACACGTAAATAGTAAAACGAATACAAACAAACTGGTTTAAAAAGAATGTAAGAGTATAAAATTTTACTTTTGTTGGTCATAAATTCACAGGAGACCAAGAATATTGAATTACGTCCGTGCATACTGAATATGGTAAAAATTCGTCTGAAACAGAGCACCAGCAATATTTTATATTACAAGTAAAATTCAAAACTTTGTAGATATTAAAAGGCAAAATCTTTGTATATTTATTTTCTATATATAAATAAAAAACAAATGTCACGGTTATTAAATGGTTTTATTTTACTCCCGACTTAGCTTTGAATGTGGCTTTTGTATTATTTCGTCATTGAAGCTACTTACGAAATTGTATTCAAATGAGTTAAGTATATTTTGTACGATACACGAATACACATATAAATTTACATTTATAGTTACAGTATTATGATTCGTCATAATTTAGAATTTTTACTTGATTATTTAGGATGGTAATGAATGTAAGACTATCGCGAGTATTCATTTAAATGAAACTAATATTTTTCGGAATACTACGCGTTATTTTATTTGATATGGCATCTCGTCTGCCCGTGATCACTGTTTCTGCAAAGTAACCGAAATTTCAAGAGTATGTAGGTTTTAAAAACTAATAAAATAACCTGTAGCAATCCAAAAATATAAGTTTCATTTATATTTAAGGCGATGTTGTTAAAGCTCTTTAATTTTTAAAACGTCCTAAAACAAATAAAACTAAGTTCAACCTTTGTTGGTAGTTAGAAGTGCTGTTTCAAACTTGCAGGCGTCTGGTTCATTTGCATCCGCAACACCTGAACTTAAACTATTTCCAGTTGCTCCATACCTGCTGCTGCTGAATTCTAGTTTAGACTAACTTAGACGAACATTTATCATTCAAAGTGTATTTTTCATTTAAATTTCAGTTCATTTACTACAACCTACATAAATATATATATAGGTAAGTTAAAAGTCTAAGTCTAAGTTTTAATTTGTGCAAACACAAGTTTTTATTATTCACATTATAGTATATATAAATTTATTTTTGATATAAGTACTTGTATCTAGGCTATTTGTCACTTTTTAAATATTACTTTTTATTCATATAAGAAAAATATATACTTAATATACATATATATTATATTAAAGGGCACATTATGAATACCATATCTTTTGTATTCCTAACAAACATCTTAGTTGGAACTAATACGATCATCTTTATAAAGCGACTGGCCTGTTACCCCACGGAGCCTCATTTCCATACAAAAACAATATGTTTTACAGGACAAGTAAGACGTACCATAAATAGGAACGAGTGCCATTATTGTATACAGCTATTCTATTTACGACAGGGCTGCGATTGAACATTTTTTTTTACAATAATTTGTAGTGCCACTATGGATTTCTAATGATTAACCTGTACATATAATTTATATTAAATTAAAACTGTTAATGAGGCTATTAAATTCAAATAAAGTCTTCAATGATTTTTTTGATATAATCCCTCTGTATTTTTTCTGGTGTTTATGTAGTTTTTAGCTTGTATTAAGAAAGAGTCCGTAGACTGTTTTTCTTGAACACGAT